GTTCCTAATTGAGTATCATCAGCAAACATGTCACAATCCGCACTTTTTAAGCAATTTGGCAAGTCATTTATGTAAATAAGAAAGAGTAAGGGTCCAAGAATTGAACCCTGCGGAATACCAGTAATTATTGTTCGTGGTTCAGACAGTTTGCCATTAACTTGACAATACTGGGTACGATTAGACAGATAGGACCTAAACCAGTCATGCGCCCTTCCTCTCACTCCATACAAATATAATTTTTTTAATAAAATACCATGGTCAACGGTATCAAATGCTTTTTTTAGATCTAAAAAGACAACTCCATTGATTAACCCTTCATCCATATTTTGATACCAATGGTTTGTCATTTTTAACAATGCAGTAACAGTGGAGTGGAGAGGTCTAAATCCATGTTGTGCATTAGTTAGTATGTTTGCCCGTTGTAAATAGGAATAGACCTGGTTATGTACGAGTTTCTCCATTGTTTTGGCAATTACCGAAATAATAGATATAGGTCGAAAATTATCCATATTAGATTTAGGGCCACTTTTGTAAATTGGGGTGACTCTTGCATTTTTCCACTCACATGGAAATATGCCGGTGGATATAGACCTATTAAATATTGTTGTCAGCGATTTAGCAATGTAAGGTGAGGCCAGTTTAATAAGTTTTGCTGGTAATCCATCTAGGCCCGATGCCTTAGTAGATGATAATGATGATAATAACTGGCAAACTTCCTGTTCAGTTATTTCACAGAAAATAAATTCCTGCATTGATTCACTGATATAACTCTCTGGTGGAATAGAGCAACTTGAGATGTTTTGGGAAAGAATGAAACCAAGATCAGTGAAATGATTATTAAATGCATTAGGTATGCCTGGAATATTAACCATTTCATTACGGATCTCAGTTATATTTTGAGATTTTTTTTATTTATGAATCAAGTTATTAAAGTGCCTATCTCATGATTGAGGTTTTTACATATTTACCATATTTCGAACATTTTAAGACGATTTGCTTAATATTGTCATTAGCAAAAATTCAATCTTCCTTATAATTTTTGCTGTTAAAGTTGCCTATTTGAAAATATGACCGGAAGAACAGAGCCTGGTAAGTACTTGCCGGAAGTGACGTACACCCAGGGAGAGGCTTTCAAGAGAAACCTCGCATATCATGTAAATGTGTACAAAAACTATAGAAAAACATTGTAGTCTTTATCGCTAAAAAAATGCCAAATAGGTCTGTTGTGTATGGCTGTTCTAATGAACCGAACCTCGAAAAGGGTATTGTGCTGCATTGTATACCATTTGCGGATGATGAGCGACAGGAAGCTCGGAAAAGACGAAAGAAGTGGATCGATTTCGTTCAGCGAAAGAGATGAAAATGGTCAGCTGGGATGACATCGTCAATATGCTCACAGCATTTTAAAGAAGATGACTTTCAAAGGAAATTTTTTGTCCTTGCTTCGGAAGAAAAAAACATGAAATATATGCCTCGATTGAAAAGAGACGAAATAGGAGTCAGTGTGTGTCCATCTCTTTACTTGTCCTCGTCGACAAAGCCAGAAGAGACGGAAAGAGATATTCGCCGTAAGGTGAGCTACAGTACTTCGTCCAAAATTCCTTTCCGCCTTTTATAAACGATTTTTAGATGCATATATTTACTTTTAATTTATATAGATTTTTCATGCGAAGTATGGTGAGTCGACAATTCAGAGTAGTGGCGAAACAAGTCAAGTGACAGACCCGGAAATCGACCAGGAACACCCAGATATGATGGACATGGAAGTATGTATTTAACATGAGTGCTTTAATATATTCACGGCAAATGGGTATAGTAACTTTATTCTAAACGTATATTTTAATATTTTGTCAACTTCTAATTTTGTTCTGCCACTTGTAATGAGAACAAGTATAAAGTTTTAGTATCTTTTTATGCTGTTCTAGATGCCAGCTGATATAGAAACTGCTCCCATTACCATGAAAGAAGCTTGGACTCAAACTCAGTCACTATCAACATGTACTAACTGTCAGAAACTGGAAAATGATAAGCGTCTTCTTCGCAACGAATTAATTGCCATAAAATAAAAGTTAAAGTTACATTTATCTAAGCAAGGTAATAATGTGTGCATGTCTTTAATATATGGGGGTTGTTATGGGGGGCATTTCCAAAAAGAAGTAAGTGCATGGGGATATAAAAATTGACAATCCTAGTACTATAACACTTGGTAGAAGTATTTTTACTGTGTCATTTTTATTGGTTTATGGAGATAAGAAAATTAACATATAAGTGACTTCCAATTAGCTGTGGAATGTCTGAAAAATATGGGGAAAGCATCTTCACCAGAGTGTGTATATTCACAGAACATAAAAAAATAAAATGTGTTTGTTGTAGATACATCAGCCATCATTGGTTGTGAGAGTGAAACCCAGAAATGTGATACTCCCAGCACTAGTGTCATTCCTGATGTCAGCAGTATTCCTGACTATAGCAGCATTCCTGACTATAGCAGCATTCCTGATTATAGCAGCATTCCTGACTATAGCAGCATTCCTGACTATAGCAGTGTTCAAGATGAGCATGAGATGTCTGGTAAAGAATCGGAGGGAGAAGATTCATCCCAAGGAGATAGGTATAAATGACTTTAATTAACATGTTTAAATTAACCAAACAATTTATATTTACCAGCCTATGGTTAGGATTAGTATTGCATGACATCTTTGTTGGCAAATGAACATTCAACCAAGATACTACCTATTGACATTAGCCCAATTACGTTTGACAAAATAGCCTAATATGCCCACTGTGTATAACTTGTTTGCTGTCATATCTAATTCTCTATATATTAATTATCTATTAATTTTTCTAGAGCTGATATCAATGATTACAACATGCGAACAGAACCTAAATTCATTGTATGTTTATCTCAACTAATGCTCCTGTTTCAAATCTGCCCATTATGCAGAAACCCTAATCCACTGGTTAATGTACAGCATTGTGGTACAATGGCTAAAGTTGTGACATCAATAATTTGGCTTCTTGCACTTCACTTGGTGGAATTAATATTAGAACGTTAGGGTTTGTAATCCAAGTGAGAATATATACATTTTAAGACCTAACCAGGAACGACTGCGAAAAATGCAGCACAAGGTCCTCTGGTAGGAATTGAACCTACGGCCCTGCGATTCCGGTGCAGCGCTCTAACCAACTGAGCTACAGAGGCCAGCTGTTAAGCTGTAACCGTAAGTTCATGTATATATAGGTAATCGGGTGTGCGGGTTGTGATAAGGTGGACTTCAATAATTCGGCTTCTTGCACTTCACTTGGTGGAATTAATATTAGAATGTTAGGGTTTGTAATCCAAGTGAGAATATATACATTTTAAGACCTAACCAGGAACGACTGCGAAAAATGCAGCACAAGGTCCTCTTGTAGGAATTGATACGCACTATATGCACTGGAAAAAGTACCAAACGCAGATAGTGACAGACATAAAGAAGGAAAATGAAAAATGCATAAGTCTAGCGGGGGATGGTTGGCACGATAGTATGGGCCATAGTGCCAAATATTGTGCATATACCATTCTTTGCTGTACAACATCTAAGGTTATACACTTTAGCCTTGTCCAAGGAAGTACATGTTGGTGAATTGTCTTGTCAGAATAATTGTGCCATGCAGTTGTCTAGCTTAAACACAGATATAGTATTTTGCTCTAACAAGTCCACCTGAAAATTGTAAGGTAGCATATACATTAAGTAGGGCTGTTTTCAGGCTATCAGTTGTTAAATGCCACCTAGAAAGCTGGAAATTGTTCATGAACCTTATAGTTTTCGATAAAGCTTTTTGGGAGTTTTTCTGCCAGAAAAAAAAAATTGATACAGTGATTGCAGAGAAAATTTTTAAAAAGGTTTTTTTCCTTTAATTGAAGAGAAATGAAACAGGAAGCAGCCAGGCCATGGAGTATCGGGGTTTTCAAAGGTGTATGGAATTTGTCTTTACAGAGGAGTTGAATATGACAATATTCATCTTTGATAGACATACATCGATAAAGAAACACATGAGAGAGCAACTTCCTAAAGTCGTTCACTACTTTGATCTTTGGCATCTTACAAAAACTAAGATGGAATTAACAGATGGCATGTCTTCATTTTCATATATACCATAGAAGTTCTAGGAATGGTTATTATTATGGGACACTGTATAATAATATTTGCATTTGTCTATTTAAAGTCCAAATGGTCTTGCAGAAAATTGCAAAGAAGAAAGGGAATGATTGTCTCTTAGAATGGATTAAGCCTTGTGCAAATCATTTGTATTGGAGTGCGACCACAACACTAAATGATGATGGACAAGTTATTTGGGCTAAGTTTGAATAATTTTTTAGCCATATCATTGACAAACATGAAGACCTTACCAACCAACGGTTCAACAGGTGTGCTCATAAAGAGACTGGGAGTAACAATGAATACATGTTTGTGAAATGAGATTGTCAGCAAGGTTGTTAAATATCAACTTAGCAATTTCCACCTAACACGTAGACACCTACATTTCACAAACATGTAATTTATACAGTATGTCTCAAATTCCTTTCCCTGGGCTATTTTATGAGCTATTTAAAGATGTTTGCTGTTTTAGTACTGTTGTAGTAAAGATACTGACACAGTATTTTGTTACGAATTAATGTACTACAAGAAAAGGTCATTGTTCAAATGGCTCATAATCATTCTGAATTTACCTTACCCATTATGACATTTCATTGCACTATTCTACTGATAAGACCAGCATGCTTTTCCAACATTCAAGCATAATTGCAAGGTACATAATACCTGCAAAGCATTCTGGTCTTAGTAGTTAAATAATGCAATGAAACGTCATAGTGGGTAAGGTACTGTACACTGGTTACATTAACACAGGTATTTCTCTAGATTCCGCTGTTTATGATGAGGTATGTAAAGCCTTGACAAAAAAGGGCATCAAGAGTGGAATAATGCAGGCAACTCCACACTCACTCACAAACAAGTAGTTTGGAAGGGTTTCATTCCGTCCTAAATCATTTTGCCCCCAAAATGGTTGTGTTTAAATTTCCTGGGATGTATTGCAGGTTAGTTGTTTATGTTATAATTTCCTTGATTTTTAAATTGTGAGCATACTGTGCACTGTACAGAATGTTGACTGTAATTTTGTTACTGCATCTCCCCAGTGTTAAGTATGGCTACACACCTCTGCAGTTACAGTTTTTCATTGGATTTTTATAGCTACTGTAGAAATAGTTTATGGAACTTAAGATTATTTCATTTTTGTAGACATGCTCTGTCAGCGACACATTTCAACTACAATTTACACAGAGATTCGAAGAAAAAACCCAATGGATCAGAACAGCTTAAAATTGTCTACCCCAAATTTAAGAATGGGGAAGCCACAGTCCGGAATGTCACAGTAAAACCAAACTTTGATGAGTCCAACTTGTTTTTTTTATATATAAACTACATTATACTAACGTATTAGTTGGCAATGCACCCAGATTCACCCTACTTTATTACTTTGCTCAATCTAATGCCAGATGATTTTACTCATCAGCAGTAATGTACTGCCAGTTAACCCATTGAGTGGCAAGACAATTAAAATCATCTGGCATTAGACAGAGTAAAAAGTAGGGTGCATTAGGGTGCATTGCCACTTGAAGGGTTAATTTACAATTATTTTTTCCAACTTTGGACATGTTGTGTTTCAAGATTATGTAGATGATATTTTCGAGACATTTGTACAGTCTACTGAAGATGACCGTGAATGTGCCTCCAAAACTCTGGCAGAAATAACTCCATCGCCTATGGACACTATGCTGGAGAAACAGCCCAAAGATGAAGCCATAGCAAAAAGGGATCATCGAAAGCAAATGGTGATTGAAGATGTCCCAGCAACTGCAACAGGTGAATTATTTTAAATTGTATTTTTTATATAATTGCAGTAAAAATTGAGTTGTAACATTTGACTAATTTTACTACAATGGTACAGACAGACACTACAGAAAGAATGCAACATGGGATCATACCCAGCATAGATCTTAATTGGTACATATTTCACACAGGACTAATCTATGTATATTGCATGTGTTTTATTCTTTTAGTTTGTGAGGCTGCAGAGCATGTGGCAGTGACAACAAGACAAAAGCCTCGGTGTAAATCCTGTGGACACCCAATGAATGGACACAAATTTGTTGTGGGATGTACAAAGAACGAAAATAGCAGTGTGGAATAGTAGAAGTGCATTATCTTGGCAATTTAACAATGTTCAGCTGATCAATTGATGAGCTGTTTATCAGCTGATGCACAATTATTGTGACTAATTATATTGTGTGTTGTGTTTTATATTCCAATATAAAAGTATATCATAACTTTATAATTGCATAAACAATAAAACTGGCTTGCTCAACTGTGCTTGTAGGAAATACCCGAACCTCCTTTGTAACAATTGTGCTACTCCAGATCATAGACAAGATTTCCACAAGGCATGGTAACATTCAATTTGTAATAAACATGAACTGAAACAACTTAATCCCTTTTGATATGCGATGAACACTCTAGGAATTAACAAAGTCAAATTTCAGTGGGTCTCTATTGTCCATCATCATAACCTGTACATGTAGAATCTTTGTCTTCCAAAATTTTTTTTCTAATTGCATGATATTCACATGCAGGTAATGGATATCTCTGTTGTCCCAGGTAGCCGTAAACCAGGTATGTAAATTCCCTGTATGAAACTGCACGAAGATGTCTATAATGGAAAGTCAAAGGCACTTCATGAATACTATTTAAAGTAAAGAAATGCATGGAAACAACATAATTATTGGAGTGTGCACAATGGGTCACCAAAGTCACTAGGAAGCTCTTGAGGGTGATGGGGCAAAAGATTAATTTACCAGTTAAGTTTTCAAGGATACAAAACAGCATGTCAGTGACACAAGTGTCTGATGTAATATTTTTGGGCACAACCCTTCTTCATCCGCCACTGCTTTGTTTGTCAAATAATGAATTGCCAACCATAACTCCAACATAATGTTAATTTTTTTTTGACAATTGATTTAAATCCCAATATAAATAATTACGGCAAATAAAACCCAAGTATTCACTACCGTGAAATGCCCAAGAATATTCTCTATCTTACCTGTTCTCTGAATCTGACTTATGGTATTTAATCCCGTCAGTCTTTCGATACTTTCGTCCTGCTTGGCAAAGTGACCAGGTTTCTAAACAAACGGGGTTAAACCCAGGATGAAATGTCACACAACTTGGTGGACTATCGACTTCGCTGAGGACTTGATCGCTGTTTATGGCTTCAACACAGCCATCTATCTCCATACAGCACTGTGCTTCTTTACTATTTTGCAACAATTCGGTGCTACAATTACCACATTTACACCTAACAAAAATCGTAAAAGGAATTTGTATAAATAGACTGTAGTGATATAGTATTCGGTTTTGAGAAATGTTCTTTGTTTTACATTTTTCGTGTCACCTACCATATATGCACAGAATCAGGTTGCTCCAAACGACCTTCCATTTCTTTGCGCCGCTCGTCTTGCTTTCGTTTTTGCTCTTTGTAGTTGGCAAGCCAAACATCATCTGCTATAGGCTCGTCTTCGTATGGCAGAGAGCTATCGTTCGGCTCCTCTGCATTACCAGCTGTTGCACTGGCAACATCGTCGTTATTTTGATCCTTGAAGACGTATCCCGATATAAAATCAGTGTCCGAGTCGTTTTGGCTGTTATCGGTAACGAAAAAAGTCTCGCTATCAGACGGGGAAGTAGACATGTTTATAAAATTTGTATCTCTTATCCATAATCTATTACTGTTTTCAGACCTCGCCACTTCGCTTCTCCCTGGGTGTACGTCACTTCCGGTAATTAGTTTCCAGGTTTCATTCTCCAGGTCATTTTGTGAAAACGCTCAAATTAGCCAACTTTAACAGCAAAAATGATAAGAAACATGGAATTTTTGATGATGACAATATTAAACAAATCGTCTTAAAATGTTCGAAATATGGTAAATATGTAAAAACCTCAATCATGAGATAGGCACTTTTATAGTTTTCCACATGTTCTTAGTATTTCCTTGATTATCCCTAATCTCAACACTATAATGATGGCGAATGGACGACTTAATTAATTTATTATAAGAATTTCTAGCTGATTTGAAGATTTGCCAATCATTTTCATTTTTAGATTTCAAGGCCTTTTTCTTTAATAAGTTTTTATTTCGCTTACTATGAAGTACTTGTTTCGTAATCCAAGGGGTACGCTTCTTACCAATTTTACGGGTTTTAAGTGGTGCATGTTTATCAATAATTTCAGTAAATTTATTTTTCCAAATATACCACATTCGGTTGGAATCCGTGTATGAATCCAAATTATGGTTTTCGGACGATGCTATATCGCGTAGGAAATTATCTTCATTGAAATTTTTGAAATTACGGAAATCCAAAATATTTTCCTCTCCTTTTAACGATGGGAATGACAAAATGCCGTATTTTAAATAATGGTCACTAATCGTTATATTGGAGACTCCTGCTGATATAATATTTTCCTTTTTATTGGCATAGAAATGGTCAAGTAAAGATATCGAATTCTTAGTTTCCCTTGTAGGTTAATCTATCAATTGTTTGTATTGGTATAAATTAGTAATGAAATTGAGTTCTTTCGTCATATGATGTGTTCTTTCGTCATTTGTGTAATAGATCACAATTTATATCACCCAGGATAATGCTCTCTTTCTCTTCCGTATCAATAAGCCGTAGAATGTTTTCGAATTTTGTTAGCAAGTCAATGGGTGAATTAGGTGGTCTGTACCACGTTGAAACTAGAAAAGGTTTGGTTTTATATTTATGAATTTCTATCGTAAGAGCTGCAATATCATGATGACCCAAGTCAGGTCTTATCAAAAAGTTAATTGTATTTCGTATGTAGAAACCAACACCCCCACCAGATCTATTTCTATTCTTAAAAACCCAGGTAATAGCCCTCCAGGAAAATTAAATCTAGGGGTACATCAGAATCCATTTTAGTTTCATTGATTGCTAAAATATCTAGTTGTTGTTTAGTCATGCATACTCGTAATTCGTCTATATGTTTTAAAAGGCTATTAATATTAAGATTAGCAATTTTGAAGCCACGCTCATTAGGAAGTAGATTATCAAACAAACCAAAATCATATTCGGAGTTTGGCTGTATATAAGGCGAATTTAACGTTGTATCTGAGTTTGGGGTAGGGTTCTCAATCAGTCAATTTGTCTCAGAGGTCCTGATACAGTGTTTAAAGTTTTGGGCAAGCACAGCAGTACCTCTCCTATTTAGGTGCAACCCTCCTTGATTTAAGTGACTCTTATTAATATTCGAGTGTTTATCAAATTCCCATAATTGTAAATAACATGTCGATCAGTTCGACTAATGAATTTACTTGTTGTACCTTCTGATCATTGTCTTCACGGTCGGATCTCGTTATAATTTCTGAGCTCAGTAGCTTGAGACCAGGGACTTGCTCAGCCGCGGCTTTTATCAATTCTGAAATATTTTGAGCAATCTCTTCAGGCGATTTCCCAGCGAGGTCGTTAGTTCCCACATGAAGAATAAGATGGCTAGGCTTAGCTGTTAATGTAGGTTGTAGGTAGTATTTCATATCTTCTGTTTTAGCTCCCGCAAAAGTTCTGAATGTTACTCCACTCTTAAGCCCTTGTCGGAGCTTTGCCGGCTCTATGTGTTTGATCATGGAGTCTCCCACTATGACTACGTTGGAACGATTTCGGTGGTCAGTCCGTTGTTTCGTTTGATTATCGCGATGTTGAGTTGAATTTTTCCTTTGTGATTGGTTTTGCTTACAATTGGGTGTCTGCGTTGATCGGTGGGTATTTGCATATGTACGTTCTACTAGTTAACATGCACAACTCGACGTTAGCGAACGAATATTCAGTTATGTTAATAATGTACATTGGGTCGCCACCAACCTATATGAACATGGCTTTGTGATTGGTTGATTATAACAATAAAAGACAATGAACTATAGAAATTATCTTACTTATCCTTCTAAAGAACGAGGCATAAACACTGATCACAAAACACGACATTTTAGATTGGTATTGTATTTACTCGACTATTTATGCAAATACACGTGTTTTTTAAATCATTTCAACAGTAGCCATGGTAGACGATTTACATGTGCATGATTGCAACCGCTCTGCAGTGTTTAGCAATTTTGTGTAACATTTTATTCTCCGTGCATATACTTGTGCTGTGGAGGCATTAAAAAGATATAGCAGGTTAAATAACGAAATAAACCATGCACTGTTAACCGCGAGTTATTACTTGAAAACTTTGAAAGTTTCTGCAAATTA